TGCTGTTTATTTGGCTAACCGATCACAACAAGAAATGTGTTGGGAAAAATATCACAAGAAGCATGGAGTGGAAGGAAATCCTACATCTCTCATCTACGAGTTTTTGGATGCATAACTCATGTATACAAACCCGACGAGAAAAAAAGCTGGATGACAAGAGCGAGAAGTTCATTTTTATTGGTTACGACAACAACTCGAAAGACTACAAGTTATACAATCCAAATACAGGGAAGACAATAATCAGCAGAGATGTCATATTCGATGAAAAAGAAAAATGAGACTGGGGACTACATGATGAGGATTACAGTTTTTTCCCATACTTTCAAGAAGAAGACAGAACAACCAATGATCGAGTAAGCAAGAGAAAAACCTACTACTTCACAAACAACATTGACTACAAGTACTCAAAGTGACTCATCGTCATCAACTTTAAGAGAAAATTTAAGTGAAAGAGTACCGCGTTTTAGAAAATTAGAAGATCTTTATGAGGTAACTATGAATCAAAATAATCTTACTCTTTTTTGTCTCTTTGCTGGTTGTGAACCCATGAATTTCTAAGAAGTCATACAAAGCAAGAAATGGAAAGATGGAATAGATGAAGAAATCAAGGCAATCGAGAAGAACGACACATGGGAGCTAGCTTCACTTTCTAAAGGGCATAAGAAAATGATGTGAATTGGGTGTATAAAGCAAAAAAAAAAAATTTAAGAAAAAATTAAAATATACAAGACAAGATTGGTGACAAAAGGCTACAGTCAAAGAACAGACATAGACTATGATGAGATATTTGCCCCTGTTGCTCGATTATAAACTATTAGAGTAATTATCTTTTTGAGAACTCAAAATAAGTGGAGAATACATCAAATGGATGTAAAATCTGTATTCTTGAATAAAATACTTGAAGAAAAAGTCTACATTCAGTAGCCACCAGGATATAAAGTCAAAGGGCAAGCCGAATAGACAAGTATCTGCAATAGAAAGGCTTCATGAAGTGTCCGTATGAGCATGCTCTTTACATCAAGACTGAGGGTGAAAAGAAAATGTCTTGATTGTTTGTTTATATGTCGATGACTTGATATTCTCCGGAAACAATCCAAGCATGTTTGAAAAGTTCAAAGAAGAGATGAAAAAGGAGTTCAAAATGACAGATATTGGGCTTATGGCATTCTACCTTGGCATTGAAGTCAAGCAAACGGAAGATGAGATCTTCATCTCTCAAGAAGGTTATGCAAGTGAGATATTGAAGAAATTCAAGATGGCAAGATGGAGAATAATAAAAACCCCTTTAGAATGTGGAATCAAGCTATCACAGTTTGATGAGGGAAAAAGAATTGATCCAACGTTTTTCAAGAGTTTGGTTGGAAGTTTGCGCTACTTAACATGCACAAGACGTGATATTCTTTCTGCTGTTGAATTTGTCAGTCGCTACTTGGAGACTCCGACTGTTACCCATCTGAAGACTGCTAAAAGAATTATGCACTATATCAAATGTACAATTGATTTTGGCTTATTTTACTCATCATCCAACAATTTCAAGCTTGTAGGATATAGCGACAGTGATTGGGCTGGAGATATGGATGATAGAAAGAGCACTACAGGGTTCGTGTTCTTCATAGGAGACACAACTTTCACTTGGATGTCAAAGAAACAACCAATTGTCACT